TGAGTAAATATGATAAAAGAATCTTGGTCATAGGACATTGTTGGATAATATCATAATAGTAATAGCAGTAATAGTAATAAAGTTAGAAGGGACCTTGTAGGTCAGTGATGGCAAACCTTTTAGAGACCGAGTGCCCAAACTGCAACCCAAAACCCACTTATGCATCGTTGGGTGCCGGATGGGTGTGACCAATTGGCTGGGTGTGGCCCATTGGGTGGGCGTGGGTGCGGTGGTAACGGCAGCCTGGGTGGGACTAAAAAGTTCAATCAATCAATTCCAACTTTGCAAGATCATTTTTTTTCCGTGAGAAGTTGAAATTGACTGATTGATTGAACCTTTTTTTTTTTGCACACGGCAGCAGAGGCCTAAAGTGAAAAGGTTTTATAAAACCCAGCTGAAGGCCTAGGACTGGGGCAACAGCGCACGTGCCCATAGAGAAGGCTCTGAGTGCCGCCTCTGGCACCCGTGCCATAGGTTCGCCACCACTGTTGTAGGTCATCTAGTCCAACCTCCTGCTCAGGCAGGAAACCCTATACCATTTCAGACAAATGGCTGTCCAGTCTCTTCTTAAAAACACCCAGTATGCAGTATTCCAAGTGTGGCCTTACCAAGGCATTGTAAAGTGGTAAAGTGGTATTAACACTTCATGTGATCTTGATTCTATCCCTCTGTTAATGCAGCCTAGCACATAGTACCCCATGGAAACATTATTTTAAAGATCGGGAGTTTTGGAGTGTGCTGGATGTGCTGATTTATACGTACAGGTATAAACTTAGAAATTATTATGTTCAGTCTAGAATCCAGGTGTTAACAAGTAAAGGCAAACAAGGATACTGAATATCCTTATCTATGAACTGGAATTGGACTAATAATGTTTAAAATATTAGATGACTTCAAATAGAAGACTATTGATTTTGAGGATGGGAAACTGTCCAATCATTTAAATAGTGAGCATCAATAGTTGGGATCAGTTATCATTATGCTGACAAATCCTATGATTATGCTTAATTGTGTAAATCACTTCTCAGATACTATTGATATGAAAGTCAGATTACATGTGTAGGTGACAAGCTAAGGAAGGATTTATCTGAAAATTTATTGTAGTAAATTTATAGCCAAACTGAGGTATAAACTGTGCCTTCATCACTCCAGAAAACCAAAGGATCTGATAATGCTAATATTGCCTATAGTTTAGTAATTTACTGAGTGATGGATTCAGTGATGAACTAAGTGTACACTGAAAAATGTCTAAATAGCAAGCTGCTTCATTTTGAAATGTACAAAAATTGTAGATTTCCAGGACTCCTTCTCTTCTCCAGTACATAACAACTGGGCAAGCAGTCTTTACTAAGGGTTGAGACTCAACCATGTAACTAAAGTGAAATTGGACTCTGTATTTGAGGGGGATTTCTGATGTGGAGAGATGCTGTGATTTCAATCACAACCGATATTACAAGATCTGGGGGACTACAGTGACTACCTTTCCAGCACAAATTAAATACTCTGTCCTTTTTTATTAGACTGCCACCTGGTACACATACCTACCACCTACCTCTATCCAACATTTTTCAATCATACTTTTCATCTGTCACAGAGATGCAATCTAACAGGCTTCATTAATTTCAACAGGAGCTCAACATGTCCTCCCCCACCTGGCAGAAATTTAGCAAAGGCCGCACTGGAGCTCAGCTTGGGTTTGATGGGATTTGAGATTACAGCCTCCCCATTTCCCCCCCCCCACTCCAGTTTAGTTTAGGCGTTACTTACAATAGCCCATATCTCTACATAGCATGGGACCCTGCTACTGAATGTAAGAAGCGGCTTTACAGCTCAGTGAGTTTCAGGCCGGGTTCAAACTGATAGATCAGAGAAATGGATTGAAACTGGCAGAAGGGAATTTAAAAGAATTATGGAAGTTCTTCACTTACAAAAATAAAAATAAAAAACACAAGTATAGAGAGGGAAAATATCTGTTCTGGCCATAAGTACTAACAAAAAGGATGCCCAACTGAATTTTTCCCTTACGTGCTAGAGTGCCTTAGCGGGTTGCATGTTACGTAGCATGCACGGATGATGGTGCTGATGTTTCAGTTGTTCCTCCCAAACATGAACCACTACAGAGGAACTTCATCAATGCCCTCATGGGTATTGGCTCTGGTCTTGTGGATGCCACTAAGACACATATCTTTCCAACAGCATATTCAGCATCCAGCATGTCCAGCATGCAGTCAGCAGGCACCCCATTTCACTAGCCCTTAGAGTAGATTTCAAAGAATGGGAAATCATCAGGAGTTACAAAATATCAGATATTTTTTAAAAACGTGGCCAGAAGAAGCTTTTAAAGAGGATATATCTGGAAAAATTGAGGTAACTCTCTTTTACTATCCAGACAGAAATCGGTCTTTTTGTAGTATTCCTTCTACTAGAAGTTGGGAAGGTAAATTCCAATTGAATCATAGAAAAAAAAATCACGATTAGAGTAGTTTATCTTTTAAACCAGTCTTTCTTCAGTTTAATATACTTGAGATGTTTGGGGATTGTGACCCCCAGAATTTCCTAGCTCTATCAATCTGCTGTATATCTGGACAAAACAGCTGATCAGATGTTATTGCTGATTCCAGAACTTGTTCATAAGAACAATGTAAGGATTTTTACAGTTCGTCAGCTGCTGTTAGAACTTTTAAAAGTTTAAGCCCCCCCCCAGCCATCATTGGTCTTGAGATTGGTACAAGAGATTTGTCCTCTGCTACAAATTTGGATTTTTTTTATACTGCACCGGCTCAAAGCCAGTGAATACCACCCCACTCAGCAATTAACATATAGCTGAGAAGGACATGCTTTATCTATATATAACTTTCTGAGCAGCATGTTAATTGCAAGTCATGAAAGTCACCCAGCTAAAGCAAGCAGGAGCCTATATCACACTGTAGTGCTTTGGAAGATGCTGAATGAGAACAGCAAGGCATCAATTCACACTGTGGGGGAGAAGGCAATGGTTAACCAGACCTGTATTTTACTAAAGAAAGCACATGGTTAGATAAGTGATGATGTTGTGTTAGGAGATGTACTCTTCAGGTCAGATAGCACTTAATATGCAAGTGAGGAAGAGCTGAAAATCTTCTGGAGTATTAAACATCTTTATACTGTGGCTAAATTAACCCATTCAGGACATTTAGTTGCTGATGCTGCCAGGCAAGAAGAAACTTAACAAAGGGACCTGTTAGAATAGCAAGATGCAGCATTACAATATTGATGATGAAACTGACTGGAAAAACAAGAATTTTTTTTTCAAAAAGACCACAGAACTCAGGAGATTCCAACCTCAAATGTATTAGAAGATGAAGTTTGATTGGTAGTCTGGTCATTACCAAATCTCAAGGTTATGAGAACTGATGAATATCTCAAGAAATATGGTAAGTAACAAAAGAAAAATCTGTAAAGATTCTAACTAAACTATGTCAGTCAATCTGGAAAACAACACAAAGATAACAGAGGTCAGTCTACTGTACATACAATAGCAAAAGAAAGGAGACTTAAGAGAGTGCCAATTACATTATATTGTTAAGTTACACACTAGCAAAATAATGTTTAGGATCATTCAATGCAGATTAGATCTCTAAATGGAAAGGCAGATGCCAGATATTGAAGCTGGATTTTCAGAATAGGTTGAGAAACAAGAAAGCTTTTTGATGTAGACTGGATAATTGAGAAAACTAAACAATACAATATGGGCTCTACAGATTATAGCAAGGCCTTTAATTGTGTTAACCTTAATAAGCAGTGGAATGCCCTTCAGAAAATGGAAATGGAAAACCCTACTGTATATACAGTACAGGATAAGCTGCAGTCCAGATGGAACATGGCAAAATAGATTGGTGCCAAGCCAGGAAAGGAATAAGACAAGGCTTTATTGGAATTAAAATGTTCTGGTAATTACATATTTATTTGATTTTGAAACAAAGTTTAATATTTTTAGATGTACACATACTTTTGAACAACATCCCTTCAAACTGGAAACTGCAGCTGGACAATAGAAACAGATTCCCCATGCTCTTATTATTACCCTTATTTTTGCTAAGATATTAATTCTTCAATAGTTAGTCCTTGGTTACCAATGGTAATTGGGATTGGGATCTCTGTTCTAAACAATGTCGTCGTGAGTACACTCACTTTTAACAACAGTTCCAGTGAGGTCATTAAGCAAATCCTGTGTGGTCCTTAGGTGTGATGTCATGTGATTACTATTTCTGACCACCTACTGGCTTTCTCATTGACTTTGCTTGTTGAAAGCTGGCAGGGAAGGTCACAAATAGTTATCATGTGACTGCAAGATGCTGTGACCGTCATAACTGTGAGCTAGTTGCCAAGTGCCTGAATTGTGATCATGTGACCAGGGGGATGCTATGATGATCTCAATTTCGAGGACAAGCTGTAAGTCTCTTCCTTCAGCACTGTCAAATAGTCCCTAAACGAGGACTACTTGTATCGAAAAGACAAATTTATGTCCTCAGTTAACCAGTGGATCGATGTAATTGATGTTAGTTGTATCTTACAAACCAGTTAGGCATAGCCATGGATTATGCATGGACAATTACCTTTTATTGAAATTGTTACGAAAAATGTCATATATATGTATTTATATATGCATGAGAAATTTATCTTGACCTGAAAACTTTCTTTAAAATCTGCATACTTTTCAATGCAGTTTAATTGGTTTAAGTTATTAATGTGTGAAAACGTACACATGAATTTTCTTATTTTCAAGTATACTTTTGCTAAGATCAGTAAAATCGGTGCGCTCCTCAATTTAAACAAAAACAGTCTGCAAGAAACAGAACTAAATGTGTTAGCACTGTTCAATAGTTTAAAACAGGCATGTCAAACTCGCGACATCACATGACGCCACGCAACGTATCGGGCCGGTTTTGCCATTGCTGGCAATGGGGTGGGCGTGGCTTCCATGTGACGCGTCGGGCCCACAGGCCGCCAGTTTGACACCCCTGGTTTAAAACATAACATTTATTGCATGTGCTGATTTGTAGAAAATTTATGGAAAATTTATTTAGCTCAGCTGGTAAACAACATACCACAATGTTATACAATTACAGTAATTATTTACTCAAACTTTTACTTCAATGTAGCCACCAGATAATCTATACATACATAAAGTTTGAATATACATACACAAAGTTTGAATATAATGGCTCGCTATGCTAGCCACCTATAGGACATTAACTTGCTGTTGGCTGATCTTTCAGGTACCCTTTCAGTTATATATATATAATCACTAACAACAATAAGTACAATATTTTTAATTCATTCATATATTAAACAGCTGTTATAAACCTTACTTGGATCCACTTAAAGGAATGAAATATAGGTTTAAATTGAAAACTGGATACAGTCAAGAATCAAATTCTATTTCTTTCCAGGTTTTAGCAGCATTTCTTTTGTACTGTTCTAATTCCTGAAAGGGAAATAGATAAAGTGAAATATTAAATCTCAAGATCTCAACAACTGCATTGCACTTTTCAGCTTGTGAATATTATGAATCCAACTATCCATCTCATCTTACATTCTACTGCACATATTGAACCAGACCCAAACCTTTCCCTCTGTATCCTACAAGTATCTATATACTACTAAAATTCTTGTGTCTGATTGTTTGTAACCTTCAATGGGCAAATTGGTGCATCATAGGGCAACAATGATTGAATCAATGTACTGTACTTCAAATGGCTAACTTAAGAATGCACCCCAAACCCAGGAACCCATGACTCCCACGGAATTGAACTTGGGCAGTTGTGGCTGCTTCAGGGCTGTTGTGCCACCACGATTACATATCTATCATTTCCAGTGCTCCTTGCTAGCTTCCTACAAGGAAAACCAATGGGGAAGCCAGCAGGAAGTTGGAAGTTGCTCCCAATCTCACTACTTTTTTTTGCCCACCTATGGTCATTCTGTTTCTCTACTTAAGTAAAAAAATATATTTGAAATGATAACCCAACAGATTACGAGTTGTCTAGTACACATAAACTTGTAAGTGTAGCTTTCTGTATATATGACAGGTGCTCAAGGGGACTGGCCTTGGTGGTGGGAAGAGCTTATTCATAGAAGTGGCACAGGACAAGGAGAAACAGATGCTTCAGGAATAGTTGAAAATTCCAATATTGTCTATTTAGCTCAAATCATAGATTGGATATCTTCCACATTAAAAAATACCCGAACTTGGTTTTTTTTAATATAGATCTGAAATAATAGTTTGAAAAAAGCCACAAAAAGAATGCCTCTAAACAAGGATAACTATAATAATTATCTCCCTCACATAACGTATTGACCAGTTTAATCACTAACTTCATGTTTCTGATCAAAGTGATGGCATGTACATATTAAAAATATATCAGAAATCTTTAAAAATTAGTATATCGCTATTTTAGTATTTGAAATACCTGTTACATCACTACATCAATTTTATTTGAACTGTTGGATACTGAAAGTATGAATCTTATATCAATAATATAATGAGTAATAATACAATGCAGAACCCAGCACACCCACCTGATATCAATAAAGATGTATGTTAATGTTTTATTAATTGTATTCAACTGTTGTGAGCTACCCAGAATAATTGAGAGTCATGTGGCATACAAGTTTAATAAATTAAATTAAAATTAAATCAGTGTAATAACAAAATAATACATAAATGTAAGTTTTAAAACAGAAAACATAAAAAAATGACATAACATATGAAAGATAAGTCTGAACATTCTAGAAGAAAAGAAGCCCTGCACTGAAAATATCAGGGAGAACCAATTTGGCATAGTGGTTAAGGTGCTGGACCAGAAAAAAGGAGGTTGTGAGTTTTAGGCCTTTCTTAGGCATGAAAGTCAGCTGGTGACTTGGGGCCAATCATTTTTTCACAGCTCAACAAGGTTGCTGTGTTGGGGGGAAAAAGGCAAAAGTACCAGGTATGTTTGTTACCTTGAGTTGACCAAATATTAAAAGAATAAAAAGTGGAATACAAATCTGTTAATAATAAGTAATAATAAGTAATAATAATAATAAGTAATAATAATAATAATAATAATAATAATAATAATAATAATAATAATAATAATATACTGTAGTGATATATTCATACATTTTAATCATAAATATGATGAAAAAGAAATTCACAGAATAAGCCATGGTTAAAGAGTTTTCAGGTACATTTTTTACATTAAGCAAACTGTAGTTTTATTTTTTAATTTCATACTGTTTCTGAATGCCATTCCAATGCCAAGATTTGCTAGAAAATTACTGAAGTTTATTACTATAAGAGCACTCATATCAACCACTTGCAGTTTCAAAGAGCCCTTACCCAGGGCTATACCGTGGTATGGAAATAGCTTTTTATTTAGTAAGTCAACAGTTAAAAAGTGAATTGATTTTGAATTTTCAAAATGGAAAAATATAAATGTGGACTTGACCATTTGGCATTATAATAAAATGAAAACATTTTTTATAATTATGGGCATTTCATAAATTATGATTTAGTTTGTGACATATCTTTCTGTAAATTTTGCACTATTGTTAATTAACTTCTCAAATTGAGTGCATACCTTTTCAGTCCCTTCTTGTTCTCCAGGTGCATATTTACTTATCTGATCAGACAAAGTGGAAAGTGACTTGAATACTAACAACCATGCAAACAACTTGAAAAATATCAACAATTGTACTAAGTACTAAACAACTGAGCTATAATTGGTTTTTAAAGTAGCTAGAAATTAAATCTAGTGTCATCCATTTCAGGATGCAGCACTAAGATTAGTTTGAATTGTTTTCCAAATGGAAAAAGATTATGTTGCAGCTGTGATCTCTGCTAATCAAATAAGTCTTAATTCTGAGTTAACTGATTGTAAACCATTCTGAGTTAGGATTAGGAATGGGGAATTTCCTTATTTTAAGTACAGCTTACCGAAATTACTTTTTAGTATCACAGTCTGATAATGATATAAATAAACAATATTTATTGCACAATACCACTGAAGTGCATAATATTGACAATATAGGTTTATTCTATCAACTTATTTGCATTAAGAAAATCTGAAGTAAACAAAATCTTAAATCCTGTGATTTTAAGTATCTTCTGATAGCTGAGCCTCTTCACTGTCACTACAAGGCAACTTCATTGAAATTCAATGCCAGTCTTATTATCAATTGAAAAAACATATGTGCCGAATGAAAAAGTCGTAAGAAAGTAGTAAAGTGATATACATGGACATGTGGTGTATTCTAGAATAATGGTAGGCATTTTCCATGGCAGTTGAGCATCAATGCAAAGAAAATTCAAACAGTTTCATTCTAGGACAGTTTTTTTCTTTGACTTTGAGAAAGATTTGGTTAGAAATAGAGATCCCTGGTACTGCTTCCAATTCATGGTCCCTAATGTCAGCAGCAATATGAGAAGTATATAAAACTCTATAGATAGACATTCTGAGTCCAAAGAGCAACATGAAATGATCATGGAAGAATGCATGAACTAAAATGCTACCATGCATGAATACCTCCAAGAAACAGAATACAAAGCATTATATTTGACAGTATACCTTTAGCATAAATGCTCTTCTCTCTATAAATGCTTTATCTTTAAAAGAATGTATGGAACAAAGAACTACAAAAAGGCGGGAAAAGATTAGCTTTCTGAAGCATTTAATACTTATTCTTAAGATAACAGCCATTTCACTCTCAATTTTCATATAATTATGGGAAACCCTAAAGCATTTAAAAACTGAATGTAGCTAGGGAATTGTTTTCTTACAGATGTATTCAGGGTTATCTGGCAGCTTTTAAAATCAAATGAAATATAAAAATCCCAAAATGTTTTCATAAAAGCCAGTTCAAATGTTACAATAATCTTATAATAACTGAACTTCAAATGGAAATTTTAGGGAAATAACTGCAGATAATTTTCTTTTGACAGAAACTTGTCTATTACCATATTTTTTCCTGCAATAGTACCAGCAACAAAAGCTGTAGCAATATTCAACGGCATTAATAACGATAACAATCTTTCTAAAAGAAAAGAACACTGCAACTAAGAAACTCCTGGAAAAAGATTAAATCATATTGAAAATTAATCTTACTGCTACCCTATTTTTCCTATTTTGTTAATAAAAGCAGCACCAAATCACATTTTGAATGAGTGAAAAGCAAGAACGTATATGACAAGCAATTAAACTGAATGCTCTATTCTAAGTGACAAAATAAATTCAGTAACATATCTGAGCTCTATGAAAGTCATAATCCAGTGGAATGTACATATATTCATACACAAATCAGGATCACAATTAATGACCTAAATCTGTCGTTCCAAATTTATTTGTCATCTAGTGGAAGTACCCTAGAGTATGTATTTAATTGCAGATGATTTCAGCTCCATAAATAAACATTATATCATTAAGATAATAATTTGGTTCACTACTAATGATGTGATCCCTAAGATGCATTTATATTAAACTAGGTCTTTAAATATAGTGTGGAAATTCAGAATTCTGAAAGTTGTATAGAAAATATGCAGTTGTTTATGATTTTAAAATATGTTATATGGACCTATTTTTACAAAACTAGCTTTGATTTAATGCTAATGTAGTCCAGGATTTAGGAACAGTCAAATCAAGGCTAGGAGACTATAATAGTCCCTCTGCAACACTGAATTCAAATCTGACATTTGTTTATACAAATAGATACTCATACATTGTTATTTCATACAAATAAGCACACACCTTTAAAACAATTGTTCATTGTAGTGCCTCCTTAACGTTGATGAAACATATATATCAGTGGTGGCAAACCTATCGCACGCGTGCCAGAGGGGGCATGCGGAGCTCTCTCTGTGGGCATGCACCATTGCCCCAGCACACATGGTCTCTAAAAGTTTGCCATCACTGGTCTAAGGCAAGCCAGCCTGGAGCTGCCATCGGGGAAGTGCCCCTTCCCCCCTGCAGCAGTGCAGCCGTGCCTTCCTTACGGGCGGGCAGGGCAGGAGGAAGAGCTTGTCCCTCTGTGATAAGCTGCAGCTGCGCTTGGCAGGCAACCTGTAGGAGCCCGACACCGTCGCGCTGGCCATGTGGTTGCAGTTTGTCCCACTATGCCTGCCGCTCCAGCAGTGCCTCCAAACGGCCGCCGTCCTCCAGTGGGTCTTCTCCTTCCTGGCGCTGGGTGAGGATGGGATGGTGCCGGCGGCGGCAGCAAACTTGGCTGTGTCCCAGCCGCGGGGGAGGTCGCAGGAGAGGCAGCGCTGGCCAGCAGTCATGGCTAATATGGGGTGGTGGGCCGATGGCTGTGAAGGGAGCCCAAGGCGGGTGTGGGCAGGCAGTTACAGTGCCCGGATTGGCTCTTGCGGGCGGTGACTTGCCTTGCTTTGTGTGGGCCTGCCTTCCCAAACCCCGACTGCTCCAGCCCTGCAGGGCGCCACCACTTCCTCTCAGCTGGGGCTGTCCACGGACAGGAGCAGCTGGAGTGGCAGACTCCTAAGCACGTTCAGAGTGCCACAGCTGCTGCTGCTCGGGGGCTGGCGAGGCAGAGGAGAGGGTCACCCGCTGCCTCTCTTGTAGGCCAGTGCTGCCTGGGGCTTTACCTGGTGCTGCTGCTCACAGACGGCTGGCTGCTGGCACTTGGATACGTGGCCTGTCTTTACCTGGACTGGGAGACACCGTCTCGCGGGCGGTGCCGCTCCATCTGGGCTGTCTGGCGACACTTCTGGGACTATTTCCCATCACGGTGAGTAGAGGAACCGGGAGGCTCCTGCTGCTAGCAGATGTGTTGGGCCTGGCGGGACACCCACTTTCTCCATTTGGGGGCTCCGACTCCAACACGGCCTTGGCAACAAACTGCTGTGGGCCGTGAGAACGCGGGGCTCAAAGCGATGCTGGAACTTCTTGGGAAGAACCAAACAAGCATGGTGGGGGTCGCCCCCTTTAAGTGCATGGCCTAAACCTCGTCTCCTCCACCATTGTCAAACCAGTGTTACTGTGTAGCCCCCCTTCCACAAATGCCATCCTTTCTGTGCCCCCTTGGTCAGAAAGTGTCGGCCCTTTTTAGATTTTTATTTTAAGCTTTTATTATCCCCTGCCTGCTGCAGCTGACTCTGGTCCCCATCTTCCAGGAAGCAGCCGCTTCCCCACCCCCACTGACACTGCCCGAACTGCATGCGCCCCTTTCACTGCACAGGGCTACTGTTGTTGCTGCCGGTACGCATCAGCCGGCCTACCGCTTCCATGTCTCTGTTGCTAGGCCACCAGTTCCTCCCCCTGCCGCAGTCTCAATGGAAGCAGGGTGTTTGGCACCTTGAAAGAAGAGGGTGGGGCTGGAAAAGCCCCAGCTGGGTGGGGGAGTATGTGCGCGCTCTTTTTCTTGAGGAGTTTCTCTCTGAATGCTCGTACTTCCACGTTGCCAGACGTGTGAAGGCGCACGTGGGCTTATCTCAGAAGAAGCATTGCCCACGTGGGAGGTGGGAAAGTTTATGGCACCCCTGCCCTGCCTCGCCTTACCCCACAGGATGAGCCTCCTGCCCATCACCCCACCTGCCATCGACCCCCTGGATATCCCCAACTCTGCTCAGCCCCCACAGGCATCCCTCCCCACAAGCAACATCGAGGTGGCCACACCCACCATGGCCATGCCCACCCAGCCTGCTATGACCGCCATAGCCACGTCCACCCAATGGGCCATGCCCACCCGGCACCCGGCAATAAATAAGTGGGTTTTGGGTTGCAGTTTGGGCACAGGGTCTCTAAAAGGTTCACCATCACTACTATATACATTGATGAAAATGTCTCAAATTAATAAAGAGAAAACTTAGATCTTGATATGGAGTTTAACAGAAGATGAAAAGCAATTTATGAATTGGCTAACTGGCATTAACTTTACTGCTAAAAAAGGCTAAATAACAATTCAAGAATTATTATTTCCCAGTTTGGAAACATATAATATTTGATATTTGAAGATAGAAGAAATAAAATTTGTCCTGATTAGAAAGAGCTATAGCAGTTAAAGTGAATATTTTACCAAGACTAAAATTTCTATTTCAAATTATTTTAACCCCTATTGAGAATAAGATACTGAATGAACGGCACAAACAAATAAGGGTAGTCTATTTGTTTCTTGTTTCCAAGAAAGAAATTCAAGAATTTGCAAGATTCGGAAAAAAGGTATGGCCTAGCAATTCTAAATGTCAGACTGTACTATCATGCCAGTTACCCAATGTGGATTTCAGAATGGATTATTCTTATTTATGATTCTATCACCTTAATGGAAGGGACAGATTTTCCACAGAGATTGCATAGATGTATTTGGGTTAATATATATATAAACAAACATTTTTCTAGAAACTACTAATATTATGCCAGGGGTCTTCAAACTTGGCCCTTTTATGACTTGTGGATTTCAACTCCCAGAATTCCTCAGCCAGTGTGCCTGGCTGAGGAATTCTGCGAGTTGAAGTCCATAAGTCATAAAAGGGCCAAGTTTGAAGATCCCTGTATTAAGCTACCCAAGGATAAATATATTTTAGAGAGATTTCGCAGGACCTGTCTCCTTGCCGGTCCTTCAGTTGTGACACTGAAGTTTTCGCTGCTCCTTTGGAGATGTGCTAGCTGACTATTCCTCACCCCAGAAGTCCTTATCTGCTTTCTTTCTATAGTAACTCAAATTGTTGTATGCTATGTTAGGAAATTATTATTTACAGGGATATGGAAAAAAATATCTCCTTTGTGATTAAAAGAGGATTTCTGAGCAGGAAAGCTCAACTTCACTGATTTTGGGCATATTTATAGCAGCTGAGAAACACCACATAAATTATCCAGATTTTATTATAGAAAATATGGCCACAATAATAGCATAACAACATACCTCATTTTTTTGACTTCGCATGGCATCAACTTCATATTCAGCATATTGTGGATCCTGAGCTGGGTCCCTAGCTTCTTTGAAAATACCTACTTTCTAAAAATATAAAATAAAAAATACAAAAGTAATGCTATTTACTTGCTTAACTCAAATGTGCCTTGAAACTTGAGCACCTGTTTATCAGGAAAGGAACAGCCTTCCTTGCTGGAATGTTATTTGAGGCCTCAAACTGTTCAAAAAACATATTTAGATTATTAAGAAAATCCATATCATTCTTACATGTCAGGGAAGCTACCTTATAGTCAGTAATAACCTGAATACCTTGCCACATACATCTAGGGTACATAGGATCTTGAAAAAAATTCTGCACTTTCTGACTATAGGCCCTGTTTTATAGGACATCACAAATCAGCTCTTACTTTGATAAGTGCTGCCACATTTAAAAGCAGTGTTTGCAGTGGTGGGATTCAGCCAGTTTGCATCGGTTCGGTAGAACCGGCAGCTAATTTTTTGTTCACTTTGGTGAACCGGCTGATGCCCTAAGCTCTTTTTCGCAAGATCCAGAACGGACTGCCGGAAATGTGTGGACGCCACTTCCAGAAGTCCATTCTGAGCCTCGGAGGCCCAGGCCCAGAATGGACTTCTGGAAGCGGCAGTCACACAGATAACTGGTTGTTCAGGTATTTGAATCCCACCACTGGGAGTTTTTCACCTTCAACATCGCATGGACCTCCTGAGATATCCAAGGTTTCTCATTTGCCCACGTAACAATAGTCTTAAGAACACTGACATTCTCCATACACTTTTGAATATAAGCAGACACCGTAGAAGCATTCTCGTTCACATCAGTATGTTGTCCATTCGTTGTAGCCTCTTTAAATATGTTCTAATTTGTGGGCCCAAAACAATCTTGTAGAGCTTCCATAGCTCCTGCCGGCCACACTCTCACCTGTTTCATAGTTGGTCTCTCTCTCTAATTAACAAAAGCTTATATACTGGCATAAGCACCAGAGATGATCTGAAGAACCAAAATGAGGGCGAGGGGCAGCCTGAAATGCTTTCTTGATGTTAGAGTAAGCTAAATTCAGAGTATTCACACCTCTAGTAGCAAAATCCACATATTGATGAAAATTAGGGAGGTATGCTTTCAAGTCAATCTGATTGAAATCTCCTACCACAATGAAAACCCCCTCCGAATGGGTAGTTTGCAAGTTATTGAGAATGCAATAAAGAGCACTCAGGGCTTCATTCTTGTTGGCACGGGGAGGGGGTGGAATATACACAACTATGATTAGAATGACAGTGAATTCTATTGGCAAGTAAAGGGTCTATGTTTATAAATGTATATAATATATGCACATATATTTTTATACTAAACAGACAAGGCATACTGACAGTCTTCCACAATCTCACTCAATCTACTTCTCCTAGTATGGAGAAATTAGATCTGAAAAAAATATTTATGTCCCACTGGAATCAATGGAATATTTTTAAAATCCAGTTGCTTGATGGGGTTCTGAGGATCTAGGTTGAATGGACAGGCAAGCTGAACCAAATTTGGCCGTTGGCCATTACCATGAAGGAGAGTAAGCCTGCTACTCCATTTTAGTTGAAAGCCCAAGTGTAACATCTGCAGCAATGATGGCTCACCATCTCAATAACCTTTTCCAGAAACAAAATATTTGAGACTGTACCAATAAAGTAGATTTGCAGCTCAGGGTTGAAATGAGGGGTCCTTAGTGCTCTCTGAGCTTGGTTGTTTTGTTGTAGACATGATGAAAACTCTTAAATTTTACAACATATGTACAGACTTAACCCTAATTTTAACTGGGAAACTGTGACTATCCTAGACCAAGCCAAGTCCCAAAACATTAGAAAATTCCTGAAAGCATTGCACTCTGACAAATTGGCCATCAATAGAAACATAGACATATACAATATCTACATACTGTGCAAAACAGACAATCAACCAGCCAAAAAGGGAATAAAAAGACCAAAACACCTCCCCTCCCAGCAATCAAGACCCAGATCAGCATAGATTAACCCCAAGATTAACATCAGGCCAACAATCAGGCCAACATCAGGCCAACAATCGAGAAGTAAACAATACTCCGATCAAGGAACTGCCAAACAAGCTAACAGTAAACAGCCCAACCAAAGAACTCCAAGATCACTCCCAGCAACGCTAAGAGGGCAAACTACTAGAATATAAACTGAAAGCAAACTCTAGCACTGATGATGTTACTTAGTTTGAGTCTGAAGGGAAACAACCAAGTTCAGAGAGTTCCAAGGAGCCCTCATTTGAGACTGTCCTATAATTTCACAGATCTTCCAGTTTAATGAAAAGTTTCTTGCATAGCTGCCTCCTTTAGACAAGGGGAACTACAGCATGATAAGAATCTGGTCTAATAGACCACCCCAATTTTGAGTTTTATTTATTTATTAAACACATTTATATATATATATTTTGGGAGTCTCAGGAGATATTGAAAGGGTGTCCATCTTTATTGAGTCTGGTACTCCAAAGAGGACTACAAATAGGCAAAAGCCATACATTGCAGCTAAGGTCTGGAATCTCCTCATCAATAACTCATACTGTAGGTAATAGTTTCAAAGATCTTGATAGATCTACTACAGTGGTTCTCAACCTTTTTAATGCCGCGACCCCCAACCGGTCGTAAGTCGAGGACTAAACCGGTCGTAAGTCGAGGACTAAACCGGTCGTAAGTCGAGGACTACCCAACCGGTCGTAAGTCGAGGACTTTCCCTGCCCGGGAACGCCGTGCATGCGTGGTTCCGCCCCCTGCGCCGGACGAGGCGTAGCTGGCAAGCGGCAGAGACGGAGCAGGCCGACCACCAGCTGGCCCAGCTCAAGGGAGGTAAGGCACCCGCCAGAAAAGGGGAAAAAAATGGCGGACAGCCTTACTTGGCGACCCCCGTGAAATGGTCAATCGACCCCAAATGGGGTCGCGACCCATAGGTTGAAAACCGCTGATCTACTACAAGCAAGATGAACAAATAACTTTATTTGCCAAAATAAATTACCGTAATCACAGAAAGTGGTAAGAAACATTCTCTATATTGTTACAGGTCTAAATTTACACTAATATTGATTGAAAAAAATCAGACCAAGAGAGATGGATCTGAGAGCTTACCAAACACCACCTTCAAAACTTCCTAAAAATAGGAAGCTAGAGACTGACTGATAATTAAAAGAAATATAAGAATCTAGAGCTTGGTTTCAGAGCAGTGGTTGCATGGCAACAGTTTTCCTAAAGGCAGCATTCATCACTGTCCTGAATAGTAGAACAATTGCCTACCTGGTTGGCTGAAGCAGCTAAAATGGGGAGGGGGGGATCCAAACTTACTTGTGGTGCACCCGAGCCACCTTCTAGCTCTACTAATAAAGAGTTGCCCGAAACAACCCAGAGATGTTGGTGTGCTTGTTGGACAAATCTGTATTCAGAGGTGGAGGGAAGGGGGAGCAGGCTCTAATTTGATTATTTTAGCACCAAAAAATGGTAACGTCCTTCACAACATTAGATAGTCCTGATTAGGATATCACATAGATTGGTTTATTAGATTGCACAGAATTCAAAGCAGGATGGGCTTTTTGCCATGTCTATAAGTAATAGGCAGAAAAACAGCTTTATCTCTGCAATATTTCAAGCAAAATGCAAGAAGGCATTCAGTCAACAGTGAAGTGAATACTCCTATAGGAGTATCTGTTTTTTGCTTTGCAGCTCATTTATATATATGGCAATTTATGATGAAGGCCCTAGGTTGTAATCATCTTCTAGGCAACACTGATTGCTGCAACATCATCTGAAAGGCTGGGTCTCCATAGGACTTCTTAAGTTCCTTTGTTCTTAATAATATTCAGTCATATTTTATTGGCCCAAGCTGTGGTGAATGGAATTAACAATTTGGGTTAATTAGAGGTAATTTAATGCATCATTAATATTTAATAATAAAAATCAATATATTCTAATATAGAAATTAGAAATACGCCTACCTTTGGGGGAAATATCTTTGCAAAAACTTTTTTCCATAAATCCAAAGGTGTTTGTGCATTCAACTTTCCAATGTCACTATCAGCAGCAGGAGGGGGTCCTAACAATTATTAAAAATATTTGTAATAATATTTACTCAACAGTTTAAAAGAGAAGCAAGCCATCTGCCATCTGTTGTCTCTTCCCATTTTCTCTAGATCCCTGTAAGATAGGCTGGGCTTAGAGAATGTAGTTGATTCAAATCATCCAGTGAACATTCAGATGGCTGAGGCAATTCAGAACATTGAAACTGCTGTACCACTGCTAACATCTGAGCGTAATTCTTACTGAACTCAGTACCGGTAAGACTTACTACTGACTAAGATATCTGTAGGATTACACTGTAATTTACATAATTAGAATAGTATTGAAGAAAATGTTTGAATCTTTCAAACATTTTGCAATCTACTTCAATGATATTATACATAAATGCATTCTTTGATGTTTCAGAACCACTTTTATTTTGTCTGTTTCATCCCTGTATTCTCTACATTCTTAAATCTGCATGGACAATAACTATACTACAGTCAACCAAATTAAAAAAAAGATTACCAACCTATTTGACTAAGGGAGTCCATTCCTGCTGGAATAAAAAGCGGTTTACTTGGATCCACTGACATGGATTTGCTTTAAAAATACAAAACAGAATAAATTAGTTATAAACATTGTCCAAGAGTTTAATTTGCAGCCTATATGAGCAGGACTATGCAATTCTTCATATTCAGTTCCAAAAAGTACTTTGAAGCGTGTGAAGGCATAAATATAACTCCTGCCTGCAGCTCTTTAAAGAAACGGTGGTTTTCCTGGGATTGCACAGTGCTACTTGTTTAACAAATGCCCACTTGTTACAAATGCTTTGCTCATTTAAAGCAGGAAAATATTCTCGATACAAAGGCCTTATTTTAAAACATTTCCAACACTTGCAACTTTGCTTATTTCATAAATCTTAATTTTGTGGCCAGTATTTGAGGGCAAGAATCCTTGATCAAACGGAAGAGTTGCCTTAAAAATCTGTTTACGTTTACTTAGTGAACATTTTGGACAGGATTGCCATTTGTATAAAATCATGTAACTTACCTTCTGTCAAAACCAAAGGCCAAATGGTTAATAAGTGCACGTGTTTTCAACCACAGAGCTTCTGATTTGCTAGTAAACTGAGAAAAGAACATAACAATTTGGGTTATATTCTTCACAGCAAACATAGTAAAATGTCATTCCCAGCCCATTCAAAACTTGCCCCTCTTTTATCATGAGCGAACATACACTGATTTCTATAGCCCATACAGGTAGTCCTCGAGTTAGAACAGTTCATTTAGTAACAATTTGAAGTTACAACGGCACTGAAAAAAGTGAGTTATGACCATTTTTCACACTTATGTCCATTGTAACATCCGCATGGTCATGTGATTTACATTCAGATGCTTGTTAACTGGTTCATACTTACCACAGTTGCAGTGTCCTGGGGTCATGTGATCACCTTTTGTGACCTTCTGACAAGCAAATTCAATGGGGAAGCCAGATTCACTTAGTGATTGTGTTATTAACTTAACAACTGCAGTAATTCACTTAACAAATATGGCAAGAAAAGTTGTAAAATGGGACAAAACTCACTTAACAAATTTCTCAGCAACATAAATTCTGGGCTAAATAGTGGTCGAAAGTCGAGGACTACATGCACTTTGATGCAGACATAATATTTCTATGATTTTAAGAACTCATTTATTCTTAACACAAATAAGATTTAAAGACTGGTTCATGTCTATCTCCTTTAAAGAGTTAAATATTATCCCCTTTTAAACATATGTATTAATTTTTAAAATCATTATTATCCTAATGTTAATATTTTAAACTAATATAGCAAATGTGACAGGTTCCCTTAAAAAGCACAGAAAATGTATGGGAAGAGGATTTGGGATGTCAACTCTATAAATGTTATAGAGAATATAAATTCTTCCTTCAAAAGGAAATGGGAATGAGAAAAGGAGGCAGGGAAGGAGGCGGGGGGGGAAGGAAGTCCCGCCTTAGCACTTGGCCACCAGCAGCCCTGCCATTGATTTGCTTGTCAAAAGATTGCAAAAGGGGATCACATGACCCTGGGACACTGTGATCATCATAAATATGAATCAGTTGCCAAGCATCCAAATATAAATCACATGACCCTGGGCATGCTGCAATGATCATAAGCGTGAAAAATAGTCATAAGTCATTTTAGTGCAATTGCAACTTTGAACTGGGGTTTTTTTTCTGGGTGATCAAGTTTTTGACACCTTGCTAGGTGGTACTTGAATATTGCCATGTCCTAAAAGTGGTACAATTGGTGAAAAAGTTGAAAAGCCCTGCTCTAGATTTAGACCTATACTATCCATACTACCCATTTAGACCTATACTATCCATTTCATTATCCATAGTGTTACAAACTTATTTTCATATTTCCTTTGGTTGTAATTTATTTTGTAAATAAAATGTGCCAATTTTTTCCATCTGGCACATAACTGAATTGCTCATTCATTTATGTTCTCTTACTGCATATCTTTTTTAAATCAGGCAGGCTCAATATTAAATAGCATTCTATATGTAATTGTATCTGACATTTATAGGACTGTTTTTAAAATATATATTTTGTAAGATGAGATTTACTTTTTTCATTCCTGCTATACAGTAAGTTTATATTTTCAGTGAAACCAATAGACTCAAAAAGGATTTAGTATCAGTTGGATTGTACTTTGGAAATATAATCATACATACCGCTAAGGATGCACCATAATAATGAGCAACAAATCGAAGTGTCTTGTATATTATTTTTTTCATCTCAGAATCAAATTCCTAAAAAAATAAATAATATCCTAGGTATTTTACAGTATATAATAGTGTTACATTACATATTTTTAAACTAAGACATAACTATTTAAGTTAGGTCAAATGTTACTTTCATCTCAGTATCAACAAAACCATATTATTATTTCTCTGAAAAATGGCAAGTAACCATGGTGGTGTTTTTAAATTATCCACATATCTGAAAGCAGAATTATAGAGATGGGTTATTTGTATTAACTTTTTGTATAATAAATTGAACATGTTTTTATCTTTCTTTTTATTTGTATTGATCCTAAGCATATATGGAAATGTTTAAATTTATTATTATTACTAGAAATAAATTAACCTAATGAATATGCCAATGTATATGGTGAACTTTTCCAGTAATGGCCAACTGTTCAAACTACTATAGCTAAAAAATAGTGCCAGTTTTCAAGCATTAACTAAGACGTGATCTAGATATAATTGTTCTAGTCCAATAAGTCTTGATTTATTGGGCTAAGAATAAATATCTGTACATGAATCAGGAAATCGTAGTTTAATTATGGAGTACAAACCAATATTTGAAACCCAAACAATTGCTTGGGGTATTACAAATAAATTGGAATTATCTAACTTAAACAACAGAAAAATATGATTTAATAAATAAAGAGCTGTTCTATTACAGTACAGGTAACCGTTGAGTTACAATGGCAATTGGGACAGGAATTGCCATCATGAAGTGAAACAGTTGTGAAGTACGATGTCATATGACCACATTACTTACCGACAGCAATCCAGCCAGTCCCAGTTGTTGTCATAATAAAAGATGTATTATTGCTTGCTAAGTGGGTAGGACTCCCAAGCAAGCAGTGTAGGAGTGCTGCAGGAAGGTGGAAGGCCCCATGCAGGCCCATGCACAAGTTGGGGGAGGAAATGCTGTGATATGAACACAGGGAGGCTGGGTTGGAGGGCATGGGGTGCATGTGAGAGCAGAAAGATGAGGGAAGGAGGGAGCAGATGTGTGCATGCAGATGCCAGGGAAGGAAAGTAGGAATTATGTAAGTAACGGAAAGTTTGGGAAAGAGGGATGTGTGGTGCATACTATTTGGAGAACAGTGTGAGTGGCCTTGGGAAGAAGGCCTGGCATGGCCAGTAGCTGCCTCAAATAAGGCCAGGCTGGGCAAGCCTCATTGCAGTGGAAGATGGTAAAGGTCAGGTAGATGTGGCAGAGCCTGCAGAGTGCAGGGTGGTGGGGGTGGCTGGGGCTTTGTGCTGTGATGCTGGGTAGTTTGCTGCGGTGTGAGGCTTAAGGTGCGAAGGATTGCTGTTATATAGAGCAGCCAAAAAGGTAGAGATGGGGAGGGCAGATAGACAGGTGGGGGGCATTTGAAGTACCCCTGTGGCTGTGTGGATGGGCTGCCAAAGCACCTGGATTTTAATCATGTAACTGCAGGGTACTGCAATGGCCATAACTTTGGGGACCATGTGTAAATACCGTTTGTTCTGTGTTGCTGTAACCTTGGTTGCTGAACGAATGGTCATAACTCAGAGACTACCAGTATTAGATCATAAGACAGATAAGAATAAAAGAGGGATAGCATGGCTTCAAATTGATTGTGCTTTAACTGGGCTTATTTAAATAATTATTCTTTTTTACTATACTTTGGGTGTAATTTAAGTCGGTAAGTTATGGATATTTCGCTAATGGACATTTGATCAAAATTACACTATTTTTGCTGAAGTTATAATTCTGATCAACTTCAGCTGTCTGTCTGTTTCAAACTTTTTTAATCATATCTCATCAGGGTCTGTTCAGTCTGTTTTTGGAATATGGCTGAGTCAGCTTGAAGGAATATGATTTCTAGAGCAAGCTATCAAAGGCACCTGGGTTTGAAATGCAAATCACACAGGTGATTTGGCATGAATGTACCAAAGAGTGAAAGCTTTCTAAAATATTCTGAACCCTACCAAATAATGCTTAGAAGTTGTATAACATTTAAGAATGCAAAAGGAATGTGTTTATTTTTATTTTTAAATGCATTAAAATTTATTTATTTATATTTATTTATTTATAATTTAATTTATACCCCGCCCTTCTCCTCATGGGACTCAGGGCGGCTAACAGCCTCGTAAAAACTACAATACAATTACAATAATTAAAAGCCGAATTAAAAAGAAATATTTAAACAGGCCGATCAATTAAAATTATCCTTAAAAATCCCCTGAAACTTTAAAATCGTTAAAAATTATCCCTATTTAAAACTCACCCTAGGTCAGGCCCGCTTGTTGAAAAAGCCATGTCTTGAGGGCGCGGCGGAAGGTTAAGAGATCCGGAATCGTCCGGATC